GGAGCCTTGACCCCAACCAAGCCTTTATCTGCCCACCCCAGTGGCTTGGCAGCATACAGCACCTCCGTGAAGTTGGACCGCGACGGCCAGGTTTTGGGTAAGCGTGGCCTGGCCTGGTGGGGAAGATGTGAGTCAGCGGCTCCAGGGCCATGAGCCTCCGGGACCACCTCCATCCACATCCTCTCTCCTTCCTCCTTCATGGGAGCTTCTAGCCTCCCCTTGGAGGTTGTCAGTTACTCAGATCCTCAACCTCACACTTCACCTTCTGCCTCCCCACCCCAAACCCTCAGAGCAACATGTGGGTCCACGGGAGACCCCTGTGGCTGCATCCATCAGAGGCAGGGCCAGTCCACACCCAACCGCAGTCCCTTTGTCCGAAGTTTATTCCGAATCCCAAACACGGTGGCAGCAGGGCCCTGAACCTGCCCCCCGGGTCCCGAGGGTGCCTGGAGCCGGCTCTGACCTCTGTCTCTCGCTCCCGGGCTGGCTCCAGCCTCGCGCTTCATGGCCTACCACAAGCCCCTGAAGAACTCGCAGGACTACACGGAGGCTCTGCGGGCAGCGCGGGCACTGGCCGCCAACATCACCGCCGACCTGCGGAAGGTGCCGGGCACTGACCCGGCCTTCGAGGTCTTCCCCTACACGTGAGGCCCAGGCGGGCGGGCGGTGGGCAGCAGGGAGGGACCTGGGGAAGGCGCCCCGCACCCCTGTGAGCTGTGCCCTCCTCCTGAGGTGGGTGTGGGGGTTGGGGCGCCGCGTGACAGTGCCTGCACCCCCAGGATCACCAACGTGTTCTACGAGCAGTACCTGACGGTGGTGCCCGAGGGGCTCTTCATGCTCAGCCTCTGCCTGGTGCCCACCTTTGCCGTCTGCTGCCTGCTGCTGGGCATGGACCTCCGCTCCGGCCTCATCAACCTCTTCTCCATCATCATGATCCTGGTGGACACCGTGGGCTTCATGGCCCTGTGGGGCATCAGCTACAACGCCGTGTCCCTCATCAACCTGGTCACGGTAACCGCAGGCTCGGGGCCCCTTCTCTCCAGGGTCTCCATTCTGCCCGCTGGCCTGGCGGAGACCCCACCCAGGCCCTGTGGAGGCTGATGCCCCCTCTCTGCCCGCAGGCCGTGGGCATCTCTGTGGAGTTCGTGTCCCACATCACCCGCTCCTTTGCGGTCAGCACCAAGCCCACCCGGCTGGAGAGGGCCAAGGAGGCCACCATCTCCATGGGCAGTGCGGTGAGTGGGCGGGCGGCCGCAGGGACTGTCGCCAGCTGCTGTGTGCCCAGCCTGACACCTGTGTGCGGCCCTAGGTGTTCGCTGGTGTGGCCATGACCAACCTGCCCGGCATCCTCATCCTGGGCCTGGCGAAGGCCCAGCTCATCCAGATCTTCTTCTTCCGCCTCAACCTCCTCATCACTCTGCTGGGCCTGCTGCACGGCCTGGTCTTCCTGCCGGTCATCCTGAGCTACCTGGGTGCGTGAGGCCCCTCCCGCAGGCCCGCCCCCCCCCCCGGGAGGAGCCCCAGGCAGTGTGGGAGCACCCATGCGGGGAAGGCGTGTGACCACTCCTCTGTCTGTCCCTCTGCAGGGCCTGACATCAACATGGCTCTGGTGTTGGAGCAGAGGCGGGCAGAGGAGGCGGCTGTGGCCAGGACAGCCTCCTGCAAAAAGCACTCCTTCCCGGTGAGCTGGGCCAACGGCACCTACGTCAACCGCGGCTTCCAGCATCCTGCCGAGAGCGGGGACAGCTTCGGCGACCCTCCACCCCAGTGAGCAGAGCTCTGCGCAGGCTCCAGGGGCCGAGAGGGTTCCCATGGGGACCATGACCTGCCTCCCTCCCCCTCCCCCAGGTCCTGGAGGGGGTGCTCTGCCTATGGGGTGCTCACATTGGGACTCCCTCTGACCACCAGGTGCCCAGGCACCCTCCACCCTGGCAGCAGGTCCCTGGCTCCAAGTCATTCAAGCCTTGGTCAGCACACACTTGCCTCCTTCTTCCCGGGACCTGGGTCTTGGGGTCCAGACACAGACAGGCTGGCCTGGTTCCTGACTCAGACTCGGCCACAGCTGCCCCTTTCCACCCACCTCCCCTTCAGTGAAACAAAGTCCCACCTGGTGTCAGTGAGTCTTCAGCTCTGTCCAGTATCCCCGAGAACCAAGAGCAGGACCCACCCTGCAGGCAGCCAGGGAGGGGAGGGGGGCACTGCACCTCACCCGGGAGGGTGTCCCGGAAAAGACGCTGGTCATGGATTGGCCCCACTGGAAAGTGCCGTTCAGTGTGGCCTCCAGCTCCGATTATGAAGGTGGTTGCTGCCAGTCAAGGCTGCCGTGTGTCCTCAAGGCTGTGAGCTCCCGGGTTCAGGCCTGGAGCGCTGGCGCGGCTCAACCCAGCCCCATCTCAGCCTCCGTGGAGAAGCACCGCCGAGGACGCACATGCTCGGTGCCGTGCACAGGAGGAAGAATATGTCTGCTGAGCACAAATGGAGTTTTGTGTCTCACGTCCTATTCTGGTTGCCTCTGGACTTAAGATAATTTTTGTAGCCCAGCCGGTGATGAACCAGAAGGTGGCAGTTTGATTTCTGGTCGGGGCACAGGCCCGGGTTTCTGGCTCCATCCCCAGTAGGGGGTGTGCGGGAGGCAGCTGATCGATGATTCTTCCTCATCATTGTTGTCTCTATCTCTCACTCCCTCTCCTGTTCTAAAATCAATAAAAATGTATTAAAAAGGAGATAATTTTTGTAAATGGCACAGCACATGTGTGGGAGGGTGACTTGGGGAGATTTCAGTTTGTTTTCCCTTCCCCCTTCCAGAAGGCAGCCATGTCACCGTGTGCCCTTTCAGGAGCGGGGAGCAACTTCTCCCAACCGGGAGGCATGGAGGCCCTGGCCAGCGCAGGGACCCACAGCTGCTCGCTTTCTGTGAAAGCCTGAGAGGGAGGCAATACCCAGAGAAGCAAGTGCATTGGGGCAAGGAGGCACCCACTGCTGGCGGGCAACCGGAGTGTTCCTTGTTATTATTAATCGTTATTATTGACTTCTCCTCACCCAAGGCTATGTATCCATCGATTGGAGAGAGAGAAACATCAGTCAGTTGCCTCTCAGATGAGCCTCGATCAGGGATTCAACCTGAAACCTGGTTATGTTCCCGACCGGGAATCAAACCGTGACCTCCTGGTTCCTAGGTCGACACCCAACCACAGGGCCATGCTGGCAGGGCCAGACTTTGATGACCTGACAATTGGGAGGACTGGTCAGTGTGTTGTAGAATCCCTTTAAATGGGGTTTACTTGCTGTTTCTCTCCTGATTAAACCGGGGTGATGGGTTTGGGGGAGGAAGACCGCAAAGGTGGGGTGACCTTCTCAGCACACCGTATCGGGCAGTACTGTCGCCACAGCTGATCACTGTGGTGTGATGTTGGTCACCTGGCTGAGGTTGTGTCTGTCAGGCGTCTCCTCCCTACAGGTGCTCCTTCCCCCCTTTCCCGGCTGTGTTCCTCGGGGGGAGGTCCCTGTGCACTACCCACACTTAGGGATGGGAGGCACGTTCCGGCTCCTGGAGGGCAGGGCTCAGCATTCTGAGGACACTGGGTATACATGTATCAGCATGGACCCACATACAGTCAAGTGGTACTTCAGTTATAGAGTAAAACTACCTTATTTGTCTTGTTCATTTGTTGGTCACATGGTTCCAGCTTTGGCCATTGGAAGCCCTTTCAGCTGACTCCTGGGTCCCTGTCATATGCCCATCATGGTGAGGTGTTTGTTTGTTTTTTGTTTTTAGCACGTCCTTACTTTCTGGCACTATTAGAGGGTCCCCAGACCTAGAATCAGCCATTTCTCCAAGGAACCCTGGACCCTTCTCTGCACGTGGGATTAGAAACCGGGATCTGGGTGCTCACTGTGCACATTGCTACTGGGGCGTCATTGCTTCTGGGCCCCCGCAGCTGGGGGGAAGAAATGTGTGTGTCAATCCATGTGGCTACGCATGTAACACTGTCATAGCCACCCGTGCGGGCACTGAGCCAAACTGTTCATTGAGATGCCGGCTCTGACCACCAGGGAATATCCCAGTCTCCCCCTTCCTTCTTCTCTGCAGACACCCCCCCAACAGCAGGAAGCCTGGCTCCCCGTCCCCCCCACCCCGATGCCACGGACTTGATGATCCATTTCCACTGTAGGCAGGTAGGGTTTTCAGGGCGGTAATCCGTGCCCCACGCCCTGGGAACAACTTGGAGAGAAGTGTCTGTGTACTGGTCCACCTTTTCCCTTTGGTCCTAGGACTCCACTAATTTCCAAGGTTACTGGGTCAGCACCTCCCTCCGTGAGGCTGTGCTGTTCATTTCTAATAGATCGTTTTGTCACACTCTGCATTCCATTCTGGGATCCCCAATCTCTTAAATGATTTTTTTTTAAAAAAAAATGTGCATCCGTTGAGTTTCTCTGTGCACTGACACTCCCGTGCCCACAGTGTCCCTCACTGACATCGCACAGAGCAGGTCCAGGGCCGCGCTTCACCCACGCACCCGCCGTGGCACCGCCCGATGACCGTTCCTGCAGCTGCCTGTTCCAGCAGGCACCCCGCGCGCAGCTCTTTCAGGGGCTTCGCTGGCAACAGGCACTGAAGGGCAAAGCACGTTGTTTTGGGGCTTGCGAGCTCGCCCGGTCTGACTGACAGCATTTCAACGCAGGACGGACCGCCGTTTGTTTACCCTGCAGCCCTTGGCGCGCGCGCGCGCGTGCGTGTGCGTGTGTGTGTGTGTGTGTGTGTGTGTGTGCGCGCGTGCGTGCGACGGGCGTCCTTGGGCGCGCGCACACCTGTTCCCTTGGATCCACCAGCGCAAACGGGGGCGCGGGAGAGACCACGTGATAACGCCAGATCACGTGATAGCGCCGGGTCGGGTGACGCCGCCGCGCACGCTCTTCCGCCCGTTTCCAAGGTGGCCGCTAGGCGCCCTCAGCTGCGGAGCA